GAGTGTAGATGTCTCTTCGATATACTGATTTCCTTTCTTTTGGATATATACCTAGCAGTGGGATTGTGGGATGACATGGTAGTTCTATTTTTAGTTTATTACTTTTGAGGAATCTCTGTTCTATTCTTCACAGTGGATGTACTAATTTAGATTCCCACCAACAGTGTAAGAGGGTCCCTTTTCCCCACATTCTCACCAACATTCATTATTGCCTGTCTTTCTGATAAAAGCCATTTATCAGAAAGACAGGGGTGAGACACTTCCTTGCTTTGATTTGCCTTTCTCTGGTGAATAGTAATTTTTATACAGTTGTTGGCTATTTATATGCCTTCTTTTGAGAAATGTGTATTAAGATCTTTTGCCCATTTTTCAATCAGATTTTTTTCCTATAAAGTTGTTTGAGCTTCTCATATATTCTGGTTATTAAACCCTTGTCAGATGGATAGTTTGCAGATATTTTCTCCCATTCGGTGGTGGTCTCTTCACTTTTTCTTTATTGTTTTCTTTGCTGTGTAGAAACTTTAGCTTTATATGATTCAATTTGTCCATTTTTGCTATGGTTGCCTGTGCTTTTGAGACCTTACTCAAGAAATGTTTCCCAGACCAATAAACTCAAGTGTTTCTCCAATATTCTCTTCTAGTAGTTTCATAGTCTCAGGTATTAAAGTATTTAATTCACTTCGACTTGATTTTTGTATATGGTGAGAGATAGGGGTCTAGATTAATTCTTCTGCAAGTGGACATCTAGTTTTCCAAGTACCATTTATTGAAGAGAATGTATGTTCTTGATGCCTTTCTCAAAAATGATTTGACTGTAAGTCAAATTCTGTCCCACTGTTCTATGTATCTGTTTTGATGCCAGTATCATGCTCTTTTGGTTACTATACTTAGGTATTATATATATTATATATATATAACCTAATATAGATCATACATATATTTTAGGTTACAATATTAGGTATTATAATTTGAAACCAGGTAATGTGATAACTCCAGCTTTCCCCACCACCCCCACCTCAGGATTGCTTTGTCTATTTGGATTCTTTTGCGGTTTTACTTAAATTTTAGGATGATTTTTCCTATTTCTGTGAAGAATGTCATTGGCATTTTGATAGACATTGCATTGAACGTGTAGACTACTTTGGGTAGTGTGGGCATTTAAAAAATATTGTTTCTTCCAATCCATGAATATAAAATATCTTTTCATTGTTTGGGTCCTCTTCAATTTCTTTCATCAATGTTTTATGGTTTTCATTATAGATATCTTTCACTTCTTTGGTTAAGTTTATATCTAGATATTTTGTTTTATTTGTAGCTATTATGAATGGGATCACTTTTTCATTTTCTATTTCAGAAATGCTACTCTTTATATGTTGATTTTGTATCCTGCAACTTTACAGGATTGGTCAATTCTAACAGTTTTTTTTTTTTTTTTTGGTGGAGTTTTAGGGTTTTCTAAATGTAAAATCACATCATCTGCAAGCAAAAACAATTTGACTATTTCCTTTCCAATTTGGATGAAGGGGCCTAATAACTTTTTATTGTTCACCAATGTTTTGTTCTCTGTTTTATGCCTCACCTTCAGAACTATGTAGTACTCTAACTTCTGAACATATCTTGATTTTATAATAGGGATTAAATTTCTTATTGGCTTTCCCATTGCAAATCTAGCTTTTAGGTTTATTAACTCCTCTATGTCTATTACTGTTTGTATTTTCAAGATTCAGTTGACATCGCTTCTTTTTTTCCTTTTTGTAAGACAATAACCCTGTTCCTTTTCTGGTCATTTCAGTTGAGGGTTGATAAGAAGTAATGGTACATTTTGTATATTTAATTCCTGTTCCACGTATTTTAATATAATATTTATTAATTTTTATTTATGTCTCAAAAGTAAGCTGCATTGATTATACAAATATTCTGTTTTTAAACTTCAATTAATAGCATTTTTACAAAAGTCAATTATGGAAAGCATAGATGTCAAATGACTAAACTTAAGCTGAATATAAATATAAATTCTATAATCACCTCTGTACCATGAAATGGCTTTCTTGCACCATTGTTACCTAAAATAGCAGGAGAAAAAAGCTTACCATCTCCTTTAATGTAACATGCTTGCTTTGGGTTTATGTCGTAAAGAAACTGCTAACAACAGGCAAGCATTTACATGCAGTGCTGCTGCTGGACTTGCCTCAAAGTAGTGAGAATAAAAATGGCCAGCAACTATTTCATGCCCATCTCTCCACTGGTCAGTGCAAGCCAAGGGAAACTTGCTGAGTGAAGCTAGAATTTACTTTAGAGACCTGTATTAACTTGCTTTGCTTGTGAACTTGATTTTTCAACATGATAATGAATCCATCCACTGAAAAGTAACATCATGTGGACATTTTCAGTCTTTTACCAAACAAGCAAAAATTTAAGTGAATTTGTATGAATTTGCACATACTTGTTATTTGTTAGAGTATTTGTACATTGAGTCTGTGCTCATCATTATAAAATTATCATGAGGAATAGTTTTTGTACAGTCATATCCTGTACAACATTTTAATCAATAATAAGCTGCATATATAATGGTGGTCCCATAAGACCAATAGAGCTGAAAAATTTCTGTCACCAAGTGACATTGTAGCCTAATCTTATAGCATAATACATTACTCATGCGTTAATGGTGATGCCACTGTAAACAAACCTACTGTGCTGCCAATCACTTGAAAGTATAGTGCATACAATTATGTGCAGCACATTATACTTTGCAATGGTAATAAATGACTGTTACTAGTTTATACTGTGTTACTAGTAACTACTAGCATAATATTTACTATACTATACATTTTATTGTTATTTTAGAGTTTTCTCCTCTACCTATAAAAAAAGTTAACTGTAAAACAGCCTCAGGCAGCTCCTTCAGGAGGTATTGCAGAAGAAGGCATTATCATCATAGATAACACAGCTCCATGCACGTTATCACCCCTGAAGACCTTCCAGTGGAACAAGATATGGAGGTGGAAGATATGATATTGATGACCCTGTTTCTGTGTAGGCATAGGCTAGTGTGTATGTATGTCTTAGTTTTTAACAAAGTTCAAAAAGTTAAAAAAAATTTGTTTTAAAAAGAAGAAAGCTTATAGATGAAGGATATAAAGAAAATATTTTTGTACAGCTTTACAATGTATTTCGTATAAAATATCTTGTATTTGTGTTTCAGCTAAGGATTTCTATAAAAAAGAATCAAAACGCTTTAAAAAATTTAAAACTTTATAAAGTAAAATTACAGCAAACTGAGGTTAATTTATCATTGAAGAGAGAAACTGTGCTAAATAAATTTAGTGTAGCCTAAGCATACAGTATTTATAGTCTATTGTAGTGTAATGTCAGAGGCCTTCATATTCATTCATCACTCACTCATCACACAGAGCAACTTTCAGTCCTGCAAGCTGCATTCATAATAAGTGCCCTATACAGGTGTACCATTTTTTATCTTTTATACAATATTTTTATTGTACCTTTCCTATGTTTAGATATGCTTAAATTCACAAATACTTATTGTTGTGTTAAGATTGCCTACAGCAGGGGTTCCCAACCCTCACCCCACAGACTGCTCTGTGACCTGTTAGGAACTGGGCTTTGCAAGCAAGGAAAGCTTCATCTGTATTTACAGGGGCTCTCCATCACCCACATTACTGCCTGAGCTCTGGCTCCTGTCAGATCAGTGAGGGCATTAGATTCCCATAGGAGAATGAACCCTATTGGGAATTGCGCATGTGAGGGATCTAGGTTGCACACTCCTTGTGAGAATCTAATGCCTGATGATTTATCCCTGTCTCCCATCACCCCCAGATGGGACCATCTAGTTGCATGAAAACAAGCTCAGGACTTCCACTGATTTTACATTATGGTGAGTTGTATAATTATTTTATTATATATTAGAATGTAATAATAATAGACATAAAGTGCACAATAAATGTAATACACTTGAATCATTCCAAAGCCATCTTCTCTACCCCCTGTCCATGGAAAAACTGTCTTCCAAGAAACTGGTCCCTGGTGCCAAAAATAGTGGGGACCGCTGGCCCGTAGCATTCAGTGTAGTGAAATGCTGTACAGGTTTGCAGTCAAGGAACAATTGACTATTTCATCTAGTGTAGCTGTGTAGTAAGCTATACTATCTGGGTGTGTACTAGTACACTCTATGATGTTCTCACATACGCATTGCCTGAGAATGCATCTCTTCAAATTCTCACTGTGGTTAAGAGGTGGATGACTGTTATTTTATTTTCCATTTCCAATCAGCTAGGAATCACATTCCTGTAACTACTTGATTGAATATTTTTGGTTGTTTGTTCACCAGTATAGCAGTCAGGCTTTTAAGAATAATAAATCCATAAATTAGATTAAATATTAAACCATGTTAATGGTTTGTGCTATCAGGAATGGAGACTTACTAGGAATAGTTTAGAGGAAAGTCAGGGGAAAAAAGGCTAAAATAACACCCATGAAATAAGGTGAAAGGGCCTAGTACTATTTAGCCAGAAATGAATTGTGATATAACTGTCATATATATGTATCAGAATATGACTAATTGTTTGTCTTTGCTGAAATCTGAAAAGAAAAAGTTCAAGGGTAGTATAAGTGATGTATATTTAATACTGAGAAGAAGAGCCATGACAGTTGATGGACAGGACGTAAGAATGATTATGATGGGAGACATCTCTTAGGAAGAGAAAGAGAGTTTTAAATGTAGCAATATTCTCTGTCATGAAGGAGGACAAGACCTGTCTTAAGGCAGAGCGTTTACCAGCTGGCTTCCAAAGGCCTTTCTAGAACTGCAATTCTGAGCCACTTCTGTTGCTGGCCTTCAGATGCTGAGATTGAACTCGACACAGCCTAGTATCTGCTCTTTTAGGAGCTCCAGCAGTGCCAGAGGAGGCAGTGCCACCAGCAGCGAAACAGACAGCGTCTGTTTCAACTGAAGACTTCACTCAAAGGTGAGTCGGGTCAGTGTGGACCTGGGCGCTTCCTTCTCCTCCGGCTCTCACTGGGTCCAGGCACAGAAGCCCTCAGGGATTGGCGACCACAGGACACCCTCCCTGGCTACCAATATAAGCTCTTACAGAGGGTTGGCTGGTTAGCCGGTGCTAGAAAGGAGGGACTCGCCAAGGAGACGCGCTCAGGGAGGGATGAGTTGCGCCACCACTACCTAGGTCCCTCTCTGGCTATCCGGCGGGGTAGCCCGGACCCAGGTGCTCCCGGCACTCGCCAACCCGGAGCCAGCGTCCCGCTGCGCCCGGTCTCCCTCCAGCTCCGGCCCCCGGGGGAGGGCGCGTGGGATGCTGCGCGGGTCCCTGAGCCTTTCCCAAGCTCCAGCATCCGGAGCCGCCCTAGCCTGCATCGCGGCAGCCACGGCCTGGGAGGGAGAAAGGAAAGAGGGAGGACGGCGGGAAAGGCTCGGCGCGGGAGGAGGGTGGGTGAGGAGGGAAGGAGTGAGGGGGAGGGAGCCTCTCTCCTCCGCGGTGCCGCTCACCTCCCTCCGGCGGGCGGCGACTCCGGGTTCCCCCTCGCGCCCTCTCGCCGCGTCTCGCCCCTTCCCCGCCCACCCGCCCCGCGAGCGCGGGCGGCGGCGGTGGGCGTGTGCGCGCGTGAAGGACGCCGCCTCTCTCTCGCTCCTGCGTTCGCAGGCGGCGGCGGGCGGCCGGCTTCTCTCTCGGGCAGCGGCGGCGGCGGCGGCTTCCGGAGTCCCGCTGCGAAGATGCTCAAAGTCACGGTGCCCTCCTGTTCCTCCTCGTCCTGCTCTTCGGTCACCGCCAGTGCGGCCCCCGGGACCGCGAGCCTCGTCCCGGATTACTGGATCGACGGCTCCAACAGGGATGCGCTGAGCGATTTCTTCGAGGTGGAGTCGGAGCTGGGACGGTAAGGCGCGGGCTCCAGCTGGGGAAGCCCACGGCGTGCACGGGGGTTTGTCCCTCTTGCAGCGTCGGCTCCGAGGGTGCGGGAGCCTGCCTGCCCGCCCTTCGACGTTTCCCCGCCTAGTTAGTGTCCAGGGGAGAGCTAACCTTCATTCAGGTGCGGCTCCCGTCTCCCTCACCCCACCCGAGCGCCTAGGCCGGTGCAGCTGTAGGATCGACTCCCTCCCACCCGCCCTCTTCCTCGCAGGCTGCCACTTCCTTTGGGTGACGGCTCCCACCGCACGTGGGCCCTGCTTTCCCAAGTGATGTCTTTGCTCGCGATTATAGCTTAACAGAGGGTCCTGTTTGTGTAGTTATTTTTTGGGGTGGGGGCCGGAGGGTGCCCCTCCAAATCAAGACGGAATTATTAAATTAGATTCCTCCTCCTTCCCCTCATCAAGCTCTCCAGCAAGTGACACGAAAAATTAAACTTAAATACTATCTTCCCTGCAGAGTCTTCTGAGGAGTGAAGGGAGAAATGAATCATTTAAGATAGTTGAAGGCAGAATAATGAACTACTGTGGCTTTAAAGAGAAAGCAGCATTTGGGATCCAGGCAATGGTAATTAGTGAGAATGCTGCCGCTTCTCTTCTTTCATGGATTGGAGTTATTTATTTAAATTATATATGCAACAGACCATCTCCTTAGGATTGCAGATATGTCCCTTATCCCTCCTCTGAATATCCAAACAGGTAGCAGTTTGGCCTTCTGAATGATTCTATATGTTCTCATATTTTTATTCATTGAAAATTATGTTCTTCTTTCCCTTCCTTTTTTTCGTCTTTTCTTTCTGCTATCCATAGGTAAGGAGACTTGCTTTCAACACTTATTTTAGATCCAGGATCTTTAGTATAGGGAATTTCAACTGCTGACAACTTACAGTTTCTGTACTTACTACTTTGCAATTTCATTTTCCATTCTCTTTTTGCTGGAACTAGTTTTGCTCACAGCCTTTTTATTTTTTTCAAGCCTTTGGAGGATGCAAAGCAGGATTCTGGATGTTGGTACTTAGTGGGAAGATGTAATGATCACTGCTCACTCTCCCCATGATTTGCTACTACTATTGAAGGCTCATTGAATATAGAAGATGTGTAAAAAAGACAAACCTCTGAATGAGAATTCAGTGATTTGTCACTGTTAAAAAGGTTTTAAAGTATTTGAGCACTGAATAACGTATACATAAACATCCATTTCTGATCAAGTTTTTCAGTATTCATCTGAAGATCTGTTTTATGTAGTAGGTTGAAATGAAAGGATAATGATGTTAATTTTTGTAAGATCCAAAACCTACCTGTTATTAATTTTACAATATGTGACAGTGGAGCCATGTAAACCTCTGAGTAAAGAGTTGATCCACTTAAAATTGTTTACTTGGTGTTTTATAAACTGCCATGTAGTAGAGGAAGTGCCTGATGCTGCTACAGGGACTATCCCAGCAGCCTGTCTGCTTTCAGAGTTACATTAACCCTAGATGCCTCAAATAGGCTTGACTTATCCACACATGTTGTCTTTATGAATAACCTTCACCATCATGAAACTCAAGAAATTCTCTTTAATTTGAGAAATGGGAAAAAAACTGCCAGTTGTACACACTTATGGGATGGTAGCTTGCATAGGAAAAAACTAAGAAATTTGAAGTTTGGGTTATTTTTTTTTTCAGTTCAGAATTACGTGTTGCAGTAAATTTTGGAGGACAAATATTAATCAGTTATACAGAAGCTTCTTGACTTACAATGATGTTATGTCCCAATAGGCCCACCATAAGTTGAAAATATCAGAAGTTGGAAATGCATTTACTGCACCTAAGCTAACAAACATCATAGCTTAGCATAGCTTACCTGAAACATGCTCAGAACACTTAATATTAGCCTACATTCGGGCAAAATCATCTAGCATAAAGCCTATTTTATTTGCTAAATATTGCGTACAGATGGGATTTTGTAGACATGATGAGATATGAAACACAAAACACGATATTCAAAAAACACTGGAAACACAGAACACTCTAGAGTTCTGGTTGTTTACCTTCCTATGGTTAACTGGGAGCTGTGGCTAATGGCCGCTGCCCAGCATCAGAGAGAGTATTCTACCACATATTGCTAGTTCAGGAAAAGATCAGAATTTGAAATAGTTTCTACTAAATGCTATCACTTTCCCACCATCTTAAAGTTGAAAAATTGCAAGTCAAAGCCATCCTGTCAGGGACCCTTTGTCTATACATTACTAAGATTCTTGCTGTGTTATTTAGCCTTTTGATTACTGTAAAGGGTCACAGAATTAAACTATGTTGAGGAACAATACAAGCTAAAATGCCTTACTTAGGATCTGTCAGCAGTAACGTGTATTGTTAGGTAAGTTCTCTGTAGATGGCAGCATTGGTGAAGTGCATACTATTTGGCTGACACTTTGAGAAGTATCACTTCATTATCAGAAATTTTTAAGTAAATAAACCTAAAACATAAAGCAACTACTATTCCAGATATAATTATAAAGAATTAACAGAGCCAGAGAATGCAGCAGAATGATCATTGTAGGTATTGGCTGAGTAAAGTCTTCTTTCTTCCTGCACTAGTGATGAAGTTGAACTCAGGTCATTAGTTTCAAGCCTTACTTTCAGCCTTGGGCCAAATCTGTCTGCCAGTGTGACTCTAATTCATTAGCAACGCAGTTGTCATTAATATGCTAAGAGAACTGTGCTTCTGATGTTATATGTTTCTGTTGTGGTTAGCTCTAGAAAGTAGACGATCTCCACCAGAATTAGTGTTTTGTAGGTTCCTCCATTACAGTTGTCTGTTGGAAAGTAATGACTCCTGATTGCAAGAAGATTGGACAGTGACCTTTGGGATGATACACCCTGAGGATGTGTCTGGGAACTCAAGGGGAGCTAAATTCCCAAAGCTATATCCACCTGAAGCTCTGGGTAGTGCTTGTGAAGGCAGGTGCTGGCAGCACTGATCCACATGCAGCCACTGAGACCAAGACAGATGTGATTACTTTCTTTTGATGGGGAGAACATAGGGTAGAGGGGTTATTTAAGAGTATCAGGCAAAGTCATTTTCCTAAAATCACATTTGAAAACAGTGTTTTGTTTATAGAGTTGGTCCTAAAGTTTACAAAAATGATGATACACACACACACATTCAATTCTGTTTAAAAATATGAATTAGCTGTAATCCTATTCAGGGCTCCATGTCCTCGAGAGCAGTTGGTCTTTTGCCCAGTGATTTGAGAAACTGGCATTTGAAAGGCTTTTCTGAGGAAGAAGGAAGGTGCCTCTGGTCCAGACCTGCACTGTGGTTTGGCACATGGAATGACAGAAAGTGTCCTGGCCCACTTGGTGTTGCAGATTTGGTCTGTGTATGCAAATCCATGTCCTGTTTTCAGTTGTCCCACCTTTAGTTTCTCCCTGTTGTTCCAGGTTGAAAGAAAGTTGATAATAAAACCAGATGTATTCCCAGGCATACAAAATGAAGGAAGCCAGACCAAATGTAAGATAATTAGGACAAGAGAAGAATGTTGTAAACTATTTTGGAGACTTTATTTTATTTTATTTTATTTTAGTTCCCATTCCACTTACTGTAGTTTCTTTAGGCTAGGGACTTTGCATACTCCTCCCCACTACAATGTAATTTTATTTTATTTTATTTATTTATTTTTTTTGAGACGGAGTTTCGCTCTTGTTACCCAGGCTGAAGTGCAATGGCGCGATCTCGGCTCACCGCAACCTCCGCCTCCTGGGTTCAGGCAATTCTCCTGCCTCGGCCTCCTGAGTAGCTGGGATTACAGGCACGCGCCACCATGCCCAGCTAATTTTTTTTGTATTTTTAGTAGAGACGGGGTTTCACCATGTTGACCAGGATGGTCTCGATCTCTTGACCTTGTGATCCACCCGCCTCGGCCTCCCAAAGTGCTGGGATTACAGGCGTGAGCCACCGCGCCCGGCCTACTACAATGTAATTTTAAATAGTACATTTATGTGTCACATTTATGTATACATAATTATGTGTATATATTTATACTTTTAAATACATTTGTGTGTCAACTCAATTAAACTAATTATATAGGATCTCTTGCTATATGTATTATTGCTTAGGAACCAAATATATTTCAATAGTAAGGGGTGCGTGTGTGTGTATATGTGTGTGTGTGAAAGAGAAACAATGTTATAAAACAATATTTATTCTTCTTACCAGCAATGCACTTTAATATGTTCTATTCTATGCTGTTTGATTTTATCTATTAAAAAAAGTTGGCTGAACCAATGTGATTTTACATCCCACTAATGGGTTGTGACTCGATTTGAAAAGTGCTGTTTTAGGCTATAAATCTGTGTGTGACAGATTAAGCTATGAGGCAGAGTCCTTTAAAAGAAATTCCCTGCAGACCATTTGGCAACCTTCGGTGGTATCTTTTGGTACAGCTCTCTATAGAAAAATTATCCTATCTTAGCCTCCAGGTCATTATTGATTTTTCCCCTTCCAAATATTTTGGAAAAACTCTGGTGTCTCCCCAAGGTCTACTGGGCACACAGTAATCTAAACTGGCTGAGGGTTCCAGGGGCTGTGTTGAGAAGGAACTCAGAGGCCGAGAAGTGGCATATTCTACATGGTAATGCATACTCTGGCCTCAGGTCGTGGTGAGCAAATGCTTTCTATAAGGAAACACAAAAGTGTGCATTTTCTGAGAAGGGCTTCAACCAATGCTCTTGGCTTGTATTAGTCCTCTTGACTTCAGTTGATATAACATGATATCTTAGACTGGGTGGCTTAAACAACAGACATGCATTTCTAACAGCTTTGGAGGCTAGGAATTCCAAGATCAATGTCCCAGCCAATGCATTTCCTCAGTTAGGGCTCTCTTTGTGTTTTGCAGATGGCTGCCTTCTCACTGTGTCATCACAAGGCAGAGAGGAAGAGAGAAAGAGAGGGGAAGAGCGAGAGAAACCAAGTTCTCTGGTGCCTCTTT